TTCGACAGTGTATTTTTACTTTTTTTCACTTTAAGATGATATTTACTGATTTATTATTTTTTTTTTAAAGGATTTTCTAGAATATAAGCCCTGTTTTTTTTTTAGACCAGTTAGTTAACTGTAGAATAGGCTTTTCTCATGCTTACAGTCCACAGTGTAGACTAACAGATTTTTTTTTTGAATTTGTTTTGTTTTGTATTTTGAGTGTTTTTTTTTTGTATGAGGCATCACAGAAAGTAAAGTGGAAAACATGGAAAACACTTGGCTAAGTGCAGAAGACAAGGATTTTTTTAAGAGGTGAAATTTGGATGAATGAAAACATTTTTGTATTATGTCAAATTTGGCTAAACAATAACATTATTTTTTTTGTTCCCAGCAGCCATGAGTTTGATCTGTGTATTTTTTTAAAGATATTAGGTTTTACCCCTCACTAGTGTTTTTTTTATAAAATGCCTACATGCTGTACTTCTCCAGATTTTTTTATAATAACTTTTATTGATATTGCTTTGCAGAAACTTACCAGAAGAACAATTGTATTGGAAAAGTCTACATTTTTTTCTTCTGCCAAAGTCACTTCTGTCAATTCTTTTTTTTTTGAATGATTTAGACTAGAATATTTTGATAAAAACGGCTATATATCTTATTATTGTTGAAATGAACTGGGGTTTTTTTTAAGTATTGTCACTTCTTATAACTCTTCTTCAACTATTTTTTCTTTGAATGTAACTAAATTTATATTATTTTTTTTGTATTAAAAGACATTTTATCACCATATTATGTTTTTTTATATTCTAATTGGTTTGCTCAATGTCAACCGTTTTTTTTTTCAAATGCAAAGCCGATTCATGATATTGTTTTTTTTTAAAAAGACAGCAAAAAAAAAAAAGGAAAGTTTTTTTTACCTGAAAATCATTCTAACGGATGTATATGGATACTGAATTCTCGTCTTGTAGCTGGTAGTTTAATTAAAGTTTAATTGTACTTTAAGTGAACTTAAAGTACGCTTTTTTTTTTATTTAAGTTTCACTTAAAGTGYCAGTAAAGGTTTTTTTACGGTACTTTACTATAACATATTTAAAGTACTTTTTTTAGTTCAGTAATGACTTTAAGTGTCAACTTAAAGTCCCAGTAACCAATACTTTAAGTCCTTTAAGTTGTTTTTTTTTAAGCCATAAAACTGTTCTTTAAGTGAACTTTTTTTTTTCTTTACTTAACATTAAAGTACTCCGTTTGCCTTTTTTTGTAACACTGAGAACACCGACCCCCAGTCATTTTTTTTTCCTATAACTGATAACGGGAATTTTCCTGCCATTT